ACCACATGGTGGCTCACAACCACCTGTAATGAGATCTGGTGCCCTCTTCTGGAGTGCAAGCATACATGCAGGCCGAACATTTTGTATACATAATAAATAAATACATCTTTAAAAAAAAAAAGTAGAGATAATGCTATAGCATTCCCCTGCCTCAACCTGAAGAAGTCTTATTGCTTTTATTCTTTTCATTTTGAAGGTTATAACTTAAGGAAGCCAGAGCTTATTTACTGGAGAAGCCAGATGGAGGAGAACCAAGTATTCAGACCACAGCAGCAACCATTTTTCAGATGTGTGGAGTAGGCTGCTGAGCAACCGTCAGCTTGCTGATTACAGACAGAGTGAGCCCACACAAAACCATGCAACACAGAAAAGAGCAGTCCCAAGGTAAATATGTAAACTACAGAGGCAACAAACAAATGAACGGTTGTCATTTTAAGTCACCATGCTTTGGGTTAGCTTGCTAAGCAACAGAAAACTGATATTAGGTTCACAGTACAGTAATGAAATCTAATGGCCGAGGCTAGAAGGCAAGCTTCACCATGATCGCTCTGGCCCTCAGTTTCCACATCAGTGCAATGGGATTGTTTTGATTTCTACCTTGTCTTAATATATGAGGATTAAATGTGAAAATGAACGTTCTGTATACAGCATGAGGCAAGCAATTTCAACTTCTTTTTTAAAATATGTGTGAGTGTTTTACTTCCACATATGTACCACAGAGGGCATTGGGTCTCCTGGAACTGGATAACAGATGGTTGTGAGACACCATGTGGTTGCTGGGAATTAAACTCAGGTTCTCTGAAAGTACAAGTACTCTTAACCACTAAGTCATCGCTCCAGCCCCTCAATTTTTTTCTTTTTATTTGGGGAGAGAGAGTCTGGTGTCACGTAGCTCAGGCTAGACTGGAAATTCCCTGTACAACTGAGGGTGACCTTGAACTTCTAATCTACCTCCTGGATGCTGAGAGTATAGGACTGAACCGTCACACTTTGCATTTACTCCCCTGACTTAGTGTTTGCATGTGGATGCCTATGCCTATGTGCTTATGTTTACTCCCCTGACTTAGTGTTTGCATGTGGATGCCTATGCCTGTGTGCTTATGCCTACTCCCCTGACTTAGTGTTTGCATGTGGATGCCTATGCCTGTGTGCTTATGTTTACTCCCCTGACTTAGTGTTTGCATGTGGATGCCTATGCCTGTGTGCTTATGCTTGTTGGGAGGATAGGTCAACCTCAGCTGCTGTTTGTCAGGTACCACCTTGGTTTTTGAGACAGTATTTTACTTGGCCTGGTACTCACCAAATAGGCTAGGCTGGCTGGTCTTTAAGCCCCAGGGTTCCACCTGCCTTTGCCTGCTCAGTGCTGGCATTACAATTTTGTGCTATCACATCTTTTGGATGTTTTTTCCCCCTCTAGGTTCATTGGATCAAACTCAGGTCCTCATATTTGGGAGGCATGTACTTTCCCTACTATGCGACGTCTCCAACCCTCTTTTCCTTCCTTTCACGGTTCTTTCCAGTCGTTGCTATGACAATTGCCAACTGTCAAGGCACTGGAGAGTGTTCCATTTAGTATGCAGATGAGATCGTAATGAAGTTGGAGGTAGTCTGACAGTAACCCTGGCAGCCCTCTGAGATCCAATCATTTCAACCAGTCTACTTGAGGAGGAGCTTCTTGTTTCTGGCATCCTTGTCCTCAAAGGTAAACAGGATCCAGCACGTAGAAATCCTGGTAGGGGGTCTGGTGGAATGGCCTAGCCAGTCCAGGCACTTGCTGCCAAGCCCGCCTGACAACCTGAGCTCCATCTCCAGGCCCCATGCAGTGGAGGGGAAAAGCAGACTCCTCTAAGTTGTTCTCTGATCCCCATCTCCCCTCCCGCCCCCCCACATGCACGCGTGCAAGAGCGCAGGTGCACACGCATGCACACACACACACACACACACACATATAAAATGTTTGTTTGGTTTTTCGAGACAGGGTTTCTTTGTGTAACCTTGGCTGTCCTAGAACTTGCTCTGTAGACCAGGCTGGCCTAGAATTCACAGAGATCTGCCTGTCACTGCCTCCCAAGTGCTGGGATAAAATGTATATGCCACTATCACCTGCTAAATAAATTAAAAAAAAAAAAAAAGGAAAGAAAGAGAAAAGAAAAAAAGCAATCCTGGTTGTAGTGAGGTTCATATCTAAGCACTTGGAGGTTAAGGCATAAGAATTGTCAAGAGCCGGGCGGTGGTGGCGCATGCCTTTAATCCCAGTCAGTACTCAAGAGGCAGAAGCAGGCGGATCTCTGTGAGTTCAAGGCCAGCCTGGTATACAGAGCGAGTTCTAGGAGAGCCAGGGCTGTTTCACAGAGAAACTCTGTCTGAAACCTCCCACTCCCACCCCCACCCCCAAAAAAGGAATTGTCAAGGGTTTGATCCAGCTTGGGCTAAAGGTATGGTAAAATCTTTTCTTTGAAAAAAAAAGGGGGGGGTAGGGGTGCGGGACTGGAGAGATGACTCAGCAGTTTAGAGCACTTGCTACTTTTTCAGAGGACTCAGGTTTGGTGACTCACAGCTGGCTATAACTCCAGCTCTAGGGCATCTGGTGCCTGTCCTCTCTGGCCTTTGCAGTCACCTGCACAAACATAAACATGGTGCACATACACACACAATACAATAGATACACAAATAAAAACTCAGGCCACCTAGGCACTGCTCAGGTCAACACGATCATCAGAGACAGGTGTGCTAATCCCAGGAAGACCTCTGCTTCACTCCGACAAAAGCCTGGCCCAGTGTCCTGTCCACTCTCCTCCCATATTCTTGACTTCTCCCGTAGTCCTCTGTACCTACTTTTCCCTTCCCAGAGCGAGCTTCCGCGCCACTCGGTACTTCAGAACCACTTATCATTTTCCTTCATAGCACTTAGGCTATCTAAAGCTTCAAGTCTTTTCCACATCTACTTTCTTTTCCTTCATAATATCTATCTATCCATCCATCCATCCACCCATCTATCATCTATCTACCTATCCATCCATCCATCCATCATCTATCTATCCATCCATCCATCCATCTATCATCTATCTACCTATCCATCCATCCATCCATCCATCCATCTATCATCTATCTACCTATCCATCCATCCATCCATCCATCTATTTTGAGACAGGATCTGATGTATCTCAGGCTTATCTCAGCTCACTAATCCCAAGTGCTGGGATTGCAGTCAAGGGTCACCAGGTTCAGTTTATGCAGACTGTGGGAACTGAACTGAGGGCTTAGTGCAAGCTAGGCAGACACTGTACCAACTGAGCTACAGCCTCAGAGACAGACCTCTGGTTTGTTTGTGACTGGTCTCATGAACCCCAGGCTGGCCTCAAATTCCTGATCTTCTTGCCTCTACCTCCCAAGTACTGCCACTACAGGCATGCATCACCATGCCTAGCTGGGGAACCTTGAAATCATCTTGTTTAACCACTTCAGTTCACAGATGGGAAAACTGAGTGGGGGGAGGGGGGAGAGAATGGCTTTAGATTGCAGACACCCAGATAATTGTGGATACTCAGGCAATTGGGATCAAACTTCACAGACCTGTCTGGGAGAGGCTCATACAAGGTGACTGCCACCTCTCTAACGCCATCACTACATATCCTCAAGCCACCACTGGTCCCATTTCATGGTGGGGGCAGGAGTGTCTCTTTGGGAGCAGAGGTGCCAGTCAGCTGACAAACTGAGAAAGGAGGGCTGGAGAGGGTGGAAAGCCTATCCCTGAAACAGTTATTCTGAGGCAGCTGGGGATAATGGCTGGTACAGAAATAACCCAGCCTCCTCACCCTTGTTTCAGCCCTCACACCTCTGTCCTACCAGAGGTGAGGCTAACACTCAATAGCGTTCAGCAGCACTCACGTAAACACCAGCTTCTGTCTCCTAGGGGGCTCACAGTCTGATGGAGGAGGTCAGCTAGGGACCTCAGGCTGCTAAGTACCTGGGTTATGGAGCTCAAAGAGAGTAGGTCCTCAGAAGAAAAGAAACCCCCTGAATAAACTCGACAAATGCATGCAAGTTATTTAGTCCACAAATTCAGAGAGGGAGGCAACACTGCCAAGTTCCAGGGTTGTTTGCAGTCTTAGTGAGTGGAAGCATCAGGAATTTTAGAGAAGGCAAAAACTAAAAAGAAGGGGTTTGACCAAGTTTGGGGTTTTTTTTTGGGGGGGGGGTATTGACTATAAAGCCAAGTGTTTGCTACACAAGAGAGAATTTTGAGACTCCACAGAAGAATTTTGATCAAAAGGAAAATCTACTCCAGTGGGCATAGCAGAAAGAGTCCTGTGTCTGTTTGGAGGAGGAAACGTGTGCAAATAGAGTGAGGATGAGGGTAGATTGAAAGGCAGAAAACCCTATGGTATTCTGAATAGGCAGCTCTGCGCAGGAAGGAACAGGGCCTTGTTCTCTAGAGGGTTATTACCAGCTTTTCCTAGATTCTAGACTGTAGAATCTAGAGTCACGCCCCCTACGGAACCCAACTTTTGCTAGCCTAAACTCCAAGTTTGAGGTGGAAAAGTGCTGCTGGAAACCTAAACCTAGACCAGGGGTCCGGGCAGAAGAGACTTCAGTTCCCAGGATGCTTCGCTCTACAGCAGGGAAGGCGGCGCATGCTTCTTTGAAGAAAGGAAGGGACTAGCCGGCTAGTCTCTCTCGCTAGGCGTAGTGCGGGAAAGCTAACACAACGCCATCTTCGGCTGGGTCAAACCAACCGTTTGTATGCTTGATGGGACGCTCATGTTTTGTCTCGTCACCTATTACAGGTTCTTGACTAAAATGCGCTTCTCGGTTAGAATTCTCACTGCTAAGCTTTCCGATGAGAATTCCAGTTCAGTTCCCCAGTCTACCACCCTGAACGCTGGCTGCCAGATGACATAGAAGAAGCCCAGCATGGCGGCACTCAGCCGGCGCCTCCGAGGGCGGGCCGGCTCCACCCTTTCCGGCTCCGCCCGTCTCTGGTTGGGAGGGGGCTTCCGCTTCCGGCATTGGAGGCTGTAGCCTCGCTCTGGTCCCTGCGGCTGGCGGCCGAGCCGTGTGTCTCCTCCTCCGCCGCCGCCATATTGTCTGTGTGAGGAGAGGGGAGCGCGGCTGCTGCCGCTGCCGCTTCCACCGCAGGTACCGAGGGAGCCGTGGGCTGAGGTCATCGGGGCGCGCGGGTGAGCCCGGGCCAAGGCAGCAGGGCGAGGCCGCCCCGCACGCTCTCAGCCTCCTCCCAGGCGGCCTGTCGCCTTCCCCTGCCCCCCCTCGCCGCACACAGCAGCCGAGGCCCCTGCAGTCCATCTCGGACGCTCGCGGCCGCCCGGGAGGGCGCGGAGCGAGGCAGAGGGATCGGCCGGTGGGAGGGTGGGGAGCTGGCTGTCAGACTCCTGGTTCTTGCGGGAGGGAGGCTGGACTGGGCGGAGACTAAGGGACAACTTGGAGGTGGGGTGGCGGAAGGGGGAAGGGAGCTGGGGGGGGGCGCGCGCGGGTGCTGGGGAAGCGCACCGAGGGATTGGGGCCTGCAGGGCAGAGTGGCGTGGATCCTTGCGCCGCGCGGGGCAGCAGCGAGAGGGGCCTTCTATGGTTCCTCTGGGCGGGGCTGAACTTCCTACCTGCAGACCCGGTGCAAGGTGGAGGGGGCCCGGGGCGGGGTTGTTGGTGAGGGAGGGCGAGGGGGAGCACGAATTGGGGCCGGCCGACCAGGTGGATTTGGGCTTGAGGTCTCCTTGGGGGCCTGGGTGGAGGAGAAGAGGTACGTAGAAGGAGAAAGGTTGGCTAAGAGTATACATATTAATGACCTTTTGAAAGAAGAGTACTTTCGAATTTGTTTCTTTGATTTTTGCAGTGTTGGAACAGATCTAGGTTAGGCTGGTGATGGGTGAAACTTCTGGAGTTTGTTTTGGGGAAGCAAAGTCAGAGTTGGGAGAATTGCTGCCTTGTCTTTGCTTTTGTCGGGGAAGAAAGTGTTCTGAAAAGGTGACAGGTTATTTGGGAAGAACTGATTTTCTTGTAACTGTTAAATTCTTTTGGAAAGGGCCTAGGGGAGAAAAAAATGAAAACCGAAGTAGGAAGGGACGATCCCCCTCCCCTCCCGAGAGTTGAAGACCTCATTTCGTCAAATAACTGGCCGTATAGACCAGTGGCAATGAACTAAACATCCCTAGGTTCTCAAATATCAGAGCCACTGACTTAGCCGTGTTACCTAAACTCTGTAGGCTTTGTTTTCCTGCTTGTAAAATGGTGGTATTTCCTAGCTTGCAAGTTTATGCTAAGGAGTGTCTAAGATAGTTTGTATCAAGCGTTTACTAGACTATGTAGCAGACCGTAAGTGCTCAGTAGATCTGACTTGTTACTAAAGGGGCTAGTTGATATGTTCAGAATTTCTCCCATCTACTGAAGTTTATTGTTAGGGATCACTTCAGCATTCATCTTTGTAGTTATTATAAGTCAGTTGGTAATAATTGCTTAGTACACCTGAGGCTGAAAGTCCAGGACAAACACTAACTTCCCTGTATGTCGTCTTGAAAAGTTCATCTGCTGCAGTCCTACCAGGGCAAGTTTGTCCTTCCTTGACTTTGAAATATTTGGCTTTAGTTTGTTATTGGAGGAGGATGTGTAACTTGAAGAAAGAAGGAAAGGGTTGGATATTTACTTAGATTGGTTTTATTAATAGTTGCAAACTTAGGTTACTCTTTGGCAACTTTTCTTTGAAACAAACTAAGCACACCATACCTGCTTTATTTTGGCTTTTATGGAAAACAAGAACAGAAAGTCAAGTACTCAAGGGGGATCATGAACCAGTTTCTGGGTTACCTGGAAGTTGGAATTTGGATGAACTAGGTAACATTTCCATGGTGTGCTTTTGGTTCTTGTGCCCTGTGTTGCTGTTTGCTTGCTTTTGTGTTTTGAAACAAGGACTTACTCTACAGCCCAGGATGTCTTGAGTCTACTCGACTCAGCCTTCAAAAGTACTGGAATTACAGGTGTGGTTACCACATCCAACTTCTTGGTACTGGATTTATCTCCGAACATAACATTTTGTATGTGTGTATATATTCATGAGTGTATACCTTTTTGTCTGTAGGTGAATGTGGAGGCCAGAGGTGAATGTCAGGTGTCTTCCTCAGTTTCTCTCTGCCTTTTTTATTTATTAAAGTTTTTTTAAAAAATATTTGTTTATTTACTTATTTGTTTATGTATGTCCATAGAGGTCAGAGGAGATTATTGGATGGATCTCCTGGAACTGGATCTACAAATGGTTGTGAGCACCATGTGAGTGCTGGGAATTGAATCTAGGTTCTCTGGAAGAACAACCAGTGCTCGTAACCACTAAGCCATCTCTCCAGCCCCTCATTAATTTTTTTTTTAAAGGATCTGTGTCTGTGGATTGTTGGGTGATGGTGATGCACACCTTTAATCCCAGCACTTAGGAGGCAGAGACAGGCGGATCTCAGAGTTCAAGGCCAGCCTGGTTTACAGATCAAGTTCCAGGACAACCAGGGGAGAGAAACCCTGTCTTGAAAAACAAAAACAAAAAATCTATATCTTGTGGGGATATGTGTGTGTACATGAATGCTGGTGGCCAGAAGAGGGTTGGAAACTTTGGAGCTGGAATTATAGGCAGTTGTGAGCTGCCCAATATGTTTAGTGGGAACTGAACGATCAGACCTCTACAAGAGCAACACTCATTCTTAGCTGGTAGGCTCTCTCTCAGCCCCTCTACCTTATTTTATCTTGAGACAGGGTTTCTGTGTGAAGCTCTGGCTGTCCTGGGACTTGCTCTGTAGACCTGGCTGGCCATGAACTTGGAGATCTGCCTGCCTCTGCCTCATGAGTACTGGCATTAAAGGCATGCACCACCGCTGCCACTACCACCCAGCATTTTATTTTATTTTCCTGAGACAGTATCTGGAACTCCATGATCTAGCTAGACTGGCTGTCCAGCCAGCCCCAGGGATCTTCTTGTTTCTCCTTCCCACCTATGCTGGGATTTCTACACCTGACTTTTTTATGTTGATGCTGAGGATTGAATTTAGGGCTTTATGCTTTGTTTGTTTGTTTTTTTGAGACAGGGTTTCTCTGTGTAGCTTTGGTGCCTTTCCTGGATCTGCTCTGTAGACCAGGCTGGCCTTGAACTCACAAAGATCCGCCTGCCTCTGCCTCCCGAGTGCTGGGATTAAAGGCGTGCACCACCACCGCCCAGTGGCTTTATGCTTTTATAGCAAGCACTTTATGAATTCAGCACCTCCTCAGGCCTGACCAAAACATTTTTACATCTTACAGTCATTTAAAGACAAGGAAGACTTTATTAGAAATTGGATTCAAGCCAGGTGGTGGTGCTCGCCTTTAATCCCAGTACTTGGGTGGCAGAGGCAGGCAGATCTCTGAATTTGAAGCCAGCCTGGTCTACAAAGTGAGTTCCAGGACAGCCAGTGCTACACAGAGAAATCCTGTCTTGAAGGAAAAAAAGAAAGAAAGAAATGAAATTGGATTTAAAGCCTTAACTTGGGGCAGATGATACCCCATCTGTGTGTGTGTCACCATATTTTGATCTACACAATCTGTAAATACACTGTTATATAGTAGAAAAGGACTTTGCAGGTGTAGTTAATGTTAAGACTCTCTGAAAGATTTTGTTTTAAATTATATGTATGTGGGTACTGATGGAGGCCAGAAAAAAAGGTGTTGAGTCCCCTGCAGTTAGAGTAACAGACAGTTGTAAACTGCCTGGTGGGGATTGCTAGGAATGAAACTCTGGTCCTATGGAAAGAGCAGTACTTGCTCTTACCCACTGAGCCATCACTCTAGCCCCAAAAATCTTAAAATAGGAAATTAACCTGGATCCTAGCTTAGTCACAGACTGATTACATGAGCACTTAAAATCAGTACTTTTCCCAGATGTATTAGATTGGTGTATGGGGAAATCAGACAAATTTAAAGCATGAGATGACTCCATTAGGTACATTTAGATAAGGCTGCAAAGAGAATATGAGAAGGAATGTGGGTAGCCTCTAGTGTTTGACAGCAAGGAAATGGAGACCTCGGTCCTACAACCACAAGGAGCTGAATGCCAACATCCGAATGAAGTTAGAAGTGGATCCTCTCCAGAGATCTCAGCAAGCAAAACGGCTTTCATATAACTTAATTTTGGCCTTGAGACCCTAACCTAGACAGGCTTACCCAATTTCTATATATATAACACAAGAGAATAAATTTGTAATGATATATGTCACTACATTGATGGTAATATGTTAGCAGAACACTAGATTAGATTTTGGTACCAGGAGCAGGGTGTACTGTTACCTAAACATAGAAGTGGCAGTGGGTGGAGGCTGGAAGAATTTTGAGGAGTATGATAGAAAAGACCTAGAACAGATTGTTAGTAGGAATGTGGATGTTAATGACTTCACTAGTGAAGACTGAGATAGGAGTGAGTTACATGTTACAGCAAACTGAGGAGAGATGACTGGCCAGCAAACTGAGCAGAAGTTATAGCTTGTGCTTCTATGGAAGGCAGAGTTTGTAAGTTGATTTGCAAATAAACTTAGATTTTTTTTTTTTAAACCCTTAGATGTTCTCTGTGAAATTAATGAAAGCCCCATTACATTTTTTTTTTTTTTTTTTTTTTTTTTTTTTTTGGTTTTTTCGAGACAGGGTTTCTCTGTGTAGCTTTGCGCCTTTCCTAGAACTCACCTGGTAGCCCAGGCTGGCCTCAAACTCACAGAGATCGGCCTGGCTCTGCCTCCCGAGTGCTGGGATTAAAGGCGTGCGTCACCACCACCTGGCCCCATTACATTTTTGATAATTTTATGCCTACAGGAACATTGCTAGTGTCCACTGAAAGAAGTAGGAAAAATTAAAGAGGATTGTTGAACTAGTGTTGCTTTTCATATAGAGGTGTGTGTGTGTGTGTGTGTGTGTGTGTGTGTGTGTGTGTGTGTGCGCGTGTGTGCGCGCGCGCCCTTGCCTCAAGTGGAACCAAGAGCCTAGGGGATTGGAACACAAAACAGAGGATTTTCTTTGGGCAGGACATGGAGTGGATTTTGGATTTGCTTTCGGTATATTTCTTCTTATATTTGTGTCCCAAATGTTTTAGTTAATCTATTGTAGCCCAGAACATCTTATACCTAAATTAA